TGGAGAATTCTTTCCTAGCCAGTTTTGACCAGCATTGGCCAATTTTTTTTAAAAATCCAAAATTAGATAAAACTTTCTAACATCAGAACATGTACATGTATGTGAACAGAAGAAATTATAAAAATTAAGAATTCTGTCCTAATCATTTTGAGACAAAATTTGACCAAAGACCAAGTAATATAGTACAATGACTTCCACCCGTAATTTTAAAAATTCATAAAAAATCTAATTTTGATCGAAATTTGTTCAAACTTTCTACACAACATAAGAAATTGTATATGAATCAAATAAAATTATAAAAATAAAGGATTTCCATCTTTTAATTTTTGAAAAAAATTGGCTCAATTTTTGTGTACACGGTAGCTTAAAATGTTCATAAAAATCCAATTTTATGATTGAAATCCATTCAAGCTTTCTACATAACATACACGTAAGTACATGTACATGTATCACTAAATTCTTTCCCAGTAAGCACACAATACATTGGCACATGTACTCATCAGTACTCACTATTTCTCTAAGTGATATATTATCTTTGTTAGATAAAGAGTCCAATATTGTGAGTGGCTTTGATAATCCACCAGTATACACTAAAGATAGAGCAACATCTTCTCTGGGACATGACACCTTGAGAGAGAAAGGGGGGGGGAGAGTAGGAATAGGAGAGAGGTAGAAGGTTTTACTTTTTTAAGCCTTTGATTTAACTTTCTTAAACGTGTTGCATCTTCAGCAATTGGCTCTTTATTTCTAAAAAAATTAATTAATAAGAATACTATTTGCCATTAAAAATTACTCATAAATGTACATGTAGTAGCACTAGTGTTATATGCATGTACAGGTAGTACATTGTACATGTAGTGATTTTGGCTTTAATAATATTATTCACCCATTACATTATTGAGCATATCAGGCAGTCATTGACAATATCCAACCACTAGTACTCAACCACTAATACTATAACAATACATGTACATGTGCTTCCACTGCATGAATTCCTTAAACATACTTTATCTTATATTCCAGTGCCTCCCCATAAACCTGAAGATCAGATAGCAATTGAACCTGGCCCTCAAGAGCATCAGATAATATTAATAACTGTAATGAGGTCACATGATCCAAAAATGGGAGGGGCCTACCTGTCACTCCAGCTGGAGTATGTGAGCTTTTAATAAATTGACTTGTCTCTCACTGAAATTCTCAACTGATTTCTCCTTTATTAACTGAGTGTAGTCAATCCTACAAATAAAAATAATTAAAACTTATAATTAATTATTATTTAATTTACTTTAAAGTTTCTAGCTCTGATTTTAAGAAGGCATTTTCTTTCTTCAACACCTAAAAAGAAATAAGGAATCTCTTTTAAGTCTTAACTATAAAACAATTTACTTCACAAGAGCAAGTTCCATGTGATTGAGCATGTTTCCTGTGAGATGACATATTGACATTATGTAACACAAAGTACAATAAGCCCCGCCCCTATTACGTTACCATACCAACCAAACAACAAAAACCACGTAATGCACATAATGCAGTAATGCACAGTAATACTGAGGTTATGCACACTCATGACTATAACCATAATACCAGTAGAGCATTAATTTTAGTCAATGTACAATCTATTGAATGATCATTGATGACTTATCATTACAAGTTATGTGTATATTTCTTAGCTAATTTTCTTATCAAGGAATTATAGATCATAAATTGAGAATTAGTAAAAATGACATGAATATGGGCCACACTAAAGTTATGAATAATTAGGATGATCACTGAACTATAGAATGACTCTTCTAGTAGCACTGTATTAATTAGTAACGAACACAAATATGCATCACATTTCTATATTTGGAGAACAAGTAGTCTATATAAGTCATCACTCGCAGCCTGCAAGTATACACTAGTCAGTCAGTACAGACAGTAGCTATGTCTCTCCTGTTAGTGGTTGTTCTCTTATTCTTCAGTAGCTCCTGCAGTGTCTCCTCTGGTCAGTATTATGTGTCTGATGACTGCAGTTCAGTTACTCAGTCACCTTGTAATCCTTTATCAGTGTATGCTGGGAATATGTCTCAATACAATAACACCATCTTCTACTTCATTGGAACTAGTTT